CTCCGCCGACCCATCCTCCCCCCTCCCGAGAAACGGCAATCTATTTCGAATTCCGTTAACGCGGCAAATCTAACGAACGCTTATTTATTACCGGCATACATTAGTTATTATTTCGCTTTGAGATTCATGCCACGATGAAGATCGCGACACCTGTTTTTTCTTTCACTACGAGGCCACCGTTGAATAAAAATCACCGGCGGCTGTTTACACGTCCGTTGTTCCATGCTAACCATGAATCGAGCACGCCGAAGATGTGGCATGGTGCCAAATACATATAACGGTTCCAGCGGTGTGGTAATTCCGAAGTCAGGCATTCGCATAATAAATGCGTAGCTAATAATGACCTATATAGGAAGGCTTCGAATATATTTTTGTTCCCCTTCCTTCCTTCCTTTCTTTCCTTCTTTCCTTCTTTCTTTCTTTCCGATTGTCGCATGGCCAATACCGATCGCTTCTACTTCTGTTTCCTTAAAGATGTAACGGAAATTTGTGAAACCAACCTCTTATTGTTTATCGATAAAATAATATATTAATTCTTCTTTCAATCGTCAAAAATCGTCGAATAACCATCGATGGTTATAATCAAAGTAAATAAATTCGAGAAAATTTATTTTTCGTATTGAGCGCGCTTGGCGTGTTAGTTAACGTATACGTTATTCTATATCTAGCGTGCAATCTGGTAAGCGCATGATAATTGAACGCAATGGAGCAAACTGACAACTTGATGGCAATTCGATGCACTTTCCTTGTAAAGGTGTCGTGTTACTGATTGATCAGCGATAGATATCGCTATCGATAATGTACAATGAATGAATATCATCTATCGTTGAAAGTTTAACCTAGGTAAATACATCTTCCTCTCTATAGATTAAATTTTACGACTATCGTTATTTAATAATCTCGATCGAATTTGTTTTATACTTTTTATAACATATTAATCGACGATGTAATAGCAGAGAAAATAATTAATGTTCGTATTCGTTCTATAAACACGTTTATTAAATTATATTTAAACGTTAAATAATAATTTTTCATTTCATCAGAATGTATTACTACAACCGGGTGTAATATCTCGAGCGAAAAAATTAAACAAGTAAATTAAAATCAATCGTGCAAATTCGTTACACGAATCACTTGCTTCTGATCTTCCGATTTCGTGGAAGACGAATCTTATTGGTCGACTAGCAGTCGTCAACTGTTGCCGCACACGTGCACGTTGCGATAGAATGAAAGCGGTCACCAACCACGTGGTTGCCTATAACGCGATGCATATCCTATGGCATACATGCATACATCGTATAATTCATTCGGTTCCACCTGACATTGTTAACGCACCGCAAAGAAACTTAAATAACCGCAATACTTGTTGAATGATTGCTCGACCAACTGTGTTCCTCGATAATTGGATTTCGCGTTAAATTATATACTTTACAACATCGTTGCTCGACAAGTACGTGTACAAAATCTAATCTAAGAATTATAACCTCAATTCACGGATCGAAAACGGTTAAGTAAATTTAACTAGAATCGGAATAATTCAATCGAGAATTATCCTCGTATTATTTAAAGATGGATATTATCATCAAGTGTCAAACTCTCGTACGTCCCTATTATATATTTAGGGACAAATTATTGAAATTATTGCACATCATAAATTGTCTTACGTTTGTCCAATCGAGAGGTAGACGCCGAAACGCAGGGCTTCCCTTTTTTGCAGATCCCGTGTCAAAGACGTGCGATGCGCAAAAGAAGAAAGATACGAGCAATGCACCGCACTGATTGAAGCACCATGTGCCAAGAAATCTCCGCGTACCCGCGCGGTCGGAGGCTATCTAAAGCACAAGACAATTGATCTCGACGACCGATATCTCAGTGACGAAAGAACGGGGACAAAAGCGACGTAGAGAAGGTAGGGCCGGAGAGAGACGTTTCGTGAAAACCCAGTTACGGCCGATTTCCGATTCTTCCAAACCGACCGTGGTCAACCGTCCTCGGAGGGTCCCCGTCGCGACTGATCTTCCCGTGTTTACCGCGATGCACCACGATATCTGTCACGGCAGCTAGAAAGACACGTTACAGCCTGCTGTGGCTCGATGGTGCACGCGAGAACTCGTGGAGTCGGAATGGGGTACACCTGTCCAATATAGAGAGTATACTATAAACGTGGCGGCCCGCCCCCTGACCCAGACACACAGTACAGTTATATAGGTCCCTCACGAACCGGAGGATATCTCTTCTCGTTTGAACCACACTCCTGACGACCACGACCACGATTCTTGTGAACGTGGTCGCGGTGGTGCTCCTATTCGTCGTTCTTGTCCTTCTCGTTATCCCTGTTATCGCGTGATGCGCGCCACTTGTCGGGCGTACGACACGCCGCGACGTCTTTAACATCTTTCTGCCTCGTATATCTGCCATCTCTCCGTCCAGGTGCAGGTGAACGTTGTTTAGTTCGATTTAACGAAACGTCTTAACTTTGTTGCGAACATTGCGAAACATCGATTGAATCTTCGAACAATCGATGAATTCGTTCCTCCACCCGAAATGTTTCAGACGTTCGATATAAATTATGGAATTTGTTTTTATTGAACAAACATAGATATTATTTATAATTCAAAGAGGAATATTAAAGAGGATATTAAAATTATGCAATTTCTATTATTTCATAAATGATACGATATATTCGTAATTCGATGAATTAATTGTTTAAAACTTTGATATATAAAAAATTTAAAGTTTTATATATAGTTCGAGTCTAGATCGAAAACAAATGTTTTACGGTATAGTTTATCTGTTTATTTCGCATAAAGCGTTAAGTTTGTAGTACACTTTCATCCTAATTACTCGGAACAATGTTTGCGTAGATACGTGTGTGTGTACTCGGAGCGTATGAATGTGTAAATGGGTGAATCAGTTGACAGTCAACCGGCTGGTCGACCGACCGACCGACCGACTGACCGCACATACATTGTTGACCTATAGATGAGAATCTGCCGGTACTGTCTTCTTGTGTAACAATGTAGCAACATGATGATCGTTCGATTTTTTATTCACGAATATATAGCGAGAAATATCTCGATAACGAAGAAGTAGAGTAATTTTTTTTTTTTTAATTGTTTTTTAATTTTTTTCCTCGATTAAATTTTAATTGTAAAAATTGGGATAAAGATGTTGAATAATGGAATGTATGTGAAGAGGAAAAATTGTATGCGAGGATTTGATAGATGAACAGACATTTCTAATGATTAATGTAAATTTTTATGTATATTGTTGTGTGACGGCAACATAAAAAACAGACACGTTTTCATACATGAATACACTATTGATACATTGATATATTACATGATTATTGATTACTACGAGATCACAAACAATAGTTTTGTGCACGCCGCTGTCGGAATGACAATGTTGTTAATAAGCGATTACGCTATCGCTTGAATAATATATATTTACAATTGCATTTACACAAAATACCTACAATTCTTTTTTCTGCGTATTTACATTAGATTTACGATACAAATAAAATACATTATACGTTGTGATTCGATGGTTTCATCGTATTTGCGACTGTGCAAGTTATTATAATGCTAGTGGCACAGAGATCAACCATCTTACTTCACCACGCGACTGAATAGCGCATCATCCTCCAAGACATGATTTATCAAATACATAAGAATCGTAAAATCGCAAAGTTTGAAACATCTTTTTAATCGTCCCTCGTACACGGTATATACGTCTTTGCCGTTATAATTGACACGTTGCGAAACAGGTATTTCATATATCTTTAAATCAGATTAAAATGACAGTTACGACATTCAAGTGTCGAACATTAAACATAGCGAGTATTATGAGTATTATGATAACTTTTACGTAATATTTGTGTACAAGGTAAACTCTTTGCTAACATCAATTGATTAAATCGATACTGTACGTATAAATTAAATTTATATTTTAATAAAATTTCATTTTGAACGTGTGTAGTGAATTTCTAAAATATGAATTATATTCGTACAAAAACTTAACAACGAT